CTGTATCAAAAATATTCTCACAGAATTTCAAACTGATTCTAAACATGGCTGCAGAATATTCAAACATATTTATGGGACTATTGTGAAATAGGATGTGCATCTGCAATGATATATTTTACATTTTTAGAAGAAGGTATTGAAACTACAGTTCGTTTTGGTCCAAATGTGAACGATGAATTGCAAAATGCATCAAAATCAGGAATAGTCTATTAAAATGTCAATACGGTACACAGCAATGAATACCCTGTACCAAACAATATGGTCTGTTTATTATTTTTATTCCCATCACTGGAAAAAGTTGTTTAAAGTATAGTCCATATGTGGCATGTATCGCATCATATATTGTGTTTTCTGAGTATGAAGATTCTAGTCCTATTATGGACTTTGAAGGCAAAGCATAAATGGAGACTGCATTTCCAACACCTTTGAAATTCAAAAGCTCGGCGCCAGAGGATAATCCTTGAAACCCTTGAAACCCTTCTGTCCAAGAAGCTGACCTTCAAGCCAATAGTTCAACCATTTTTAACAATTTTTTCGTATATCACTGAGTAGTTTGATATGCAATAAAGTCTATTCTGCCAACACATGGGTATATTTTTTGCATATTTGATACTTTACCCTATCGTTTGACTTTCACTTTGCATATGACCTTTGTGCTAAACGAGACCCAAGAGGGATTCCTAGAAGCAGTGGTGGATTGCCATCCTGTGAAACTAACTGAAAAGAATTTTTCCATTTCAACTGTTGTGGTATTGATCACGCATGTTGAGAAAATGTGTGTTCACATGATGCAAGCTCTGTTTTTGTTGTTCAAACAAGATTCTTCTTGCAGGCAAATGATTTGGAATTGGCAAATTGTGTCATTCAGAGCAATACTGCTAATAGACAATTATCAACTTGCTACTCAAGCCAATTATTCAAGATCATGCTATGGGGATATTAACAAATTTCTGCAAAAAGCAGGCAATCAAGTACTTTCCACAAAGCATCGAAAGTTTGAAAGGGCTTCCTCTCATCTCTGTATGGCTAGTCATGCTTCAACACTAGGGAGAGTAGGATTCGTAAATATTGGTGTGCAGCGTATTGTCACTTGCCAATTATGAACAAAGTGTGCAGTTCTCTGGGTACGAATTTAAACACCCAAAAATATTTCGGTTTATGAGCAACATGAATGCAAATGCATTATGGAACATTTAGCAGAACAGAAAGTTGCTTGATTTACCTTTGTGTGTTCAAAAATAGATATTTTAGGTTCATGTGCACTCAAGAGTGGTTTTTAAGGTGACTTGTTTTGTTGTATTATAAGACATCTAAACAGTGGGACTGCCTCCGTGGTCTAGTGGTAGAGCGTCCGCCTGGAGAGTGGAAGATACCCGGCCGCGTCATATGAAAAGACATTAAAGATGGCACTTGTTGTTACCCTGTCTGGCGCTCAGCATTAAGGGGTTAAAACAAGGACTGGTCGGCTTTGAGTCAGTATACTGTGTCTGAGTGGGGTATTCATGTTAAACTGCGGCATGGCATCTCAGTGAGCTAGCACTATAACACACACACACACACACACACACACACACACACACACACACACACACACACACACACACACACACACACACACACACACACACACACACACGGGAGACAGACACACAGACACACACACACACACACACACACACACACACACACACACACACACACACACACACACACACACACACACACACACACACACTGTTCATGGGCTGAAGATCCCCCAAGTTAATAGGGTATGGAATAGGTAATCATGTTTACACAGACACTCATGGTTTTGCATATATTTCAAAGTCATGTTTTCTTTCAACATAAGAACATGATGAAGCACAGCCATGTTGTATTACGCAGCAGCAAAGATATTTTTATGCGTTTCACATTTTTGTGTGTGCATAAGAAGCACTTTCAGTTTCTAAGCATGTTGTGGAGGATCAAATAATGTGAACACACTGGTTGGCTTGGAGTCAGTATACTGTGTCTGAGTGGGGTTTTCATGTTAAACTGCGGCCCACACAACACTAAATTGACTCCTTATCATCATGGAAAGGGTTTTGTCACTTTTGTATAATTACAGTGAAACTTTTTTTTTCAAGAAATCCAGAAAAACACCTTCCACACGATCACTGCTCGGTACACTATCATATATAAAGTGTCCTTACTCCACACCTATGAGTTTTCCTCCAGAGGTCCAAAAGAAAACGTTAATAGATGTCAAAACATGTTTTTTAAATGATTTGATTTTTATACATTGGCAAATGAAATGTAAAATGATGATGTTATTGAGGAGTTTTTCCTCACTGGAATTGATAAACACACTCTGTGGAAAAGTAAAAATAACTTTTTTCAAAATTTTAATTTTAATGTAGAAAGCCTAAAATGTTTTGGAAAATTGCCATGCTGAGCAGTTTCTTCTGTGTGCTGTCACTGTTAAAAGCAATCTGATAATGCCTTTAGCTTGAAAACTGCATTTGTGTAAGGCCAACCATTTTTTATTTCTGCAATTATGGATGCAATGATCTCAAAAATTGAGAAATTGGAGAAAAAATATAATTGAAAATTGAAAACTAAAATCTTTCCCCAAAAGTGTTGGCTGATAATCTGAAGTATCAAACCAATTTATCCATACTGATGTTGCGTCTATGACCATGATACTATGGGGTCATGACTATCCTTACTATCTGGAACTGATGTTTGAAGAACGCCATGACACTATGGACAACTCCCAAGGTGCTAAGGTTTGCAGATAATGGCCACCTGTGAAGATCTGGTTCAGAATTGGTCTTCAACAACCTATGTTTGCTGTAAGAGACAGTTAAGGGGATAGGGTTGTCACTCGCTGACTTGGTTGATGCGTGTAATCGTATCCAAATTCTCTGGATCGATGATTATGATGTCAAGCACTGGATTATCTGATCCAGACTTGATTATTTACAGATGGAATATAGCTGTAACATTGCTGAGTGCAGCGTTAAAGAACAAACAAACAAATCAGTATGGTGAACCAATGAGTGTTGGAATGGTACTGACAAACCACGATTACAAGGATCATGATCAAAGCAAAACAGGATGTGTATCCACAATCATCAAATCAGGGAAAGGGATGCAACTCTGAACAGTAATTTGCAGGGCTTTAGAAAACTTGGTCATTCATGCCCTCTTGTTGCTAAACATAAATAACCTATTCACGATTCTATAAATAGAAGCAACAAAAATCATAAGCCACAAAAAAATGTCCATAATCATAAATCTCTGTTAAAAAACGAGTCCATAGTATGATTCCAACTTTATCATAAAATCACTTCCAAATCGTGTTGATACCAGGTGTGCAAAAGGAGTGCATACCCTGCTCTACACAAACACATGCAAAGGCAAGTCAAATGTTCACCTGTTCAAACATGGAAAAATGGTACATGTCAAAACAGGGAATTGCACCAGACATGTTTAAAATGGCTCAGAACAAAATATACACCTTCGCTGAAACATACCTTCTTGTAATCTACTCTGATAAATCTTAAACCTCTGCAGAAATGGTGTACCCATGCAAGATTGATCATCTACAAAAAGTCTGAATGATAATTGTGTGTTCAAATTACTTAATATCTTTGGACTTCTCAACCTAAAGGAAATGTAATTCTATAATCCAACCGTTAGTCCACTTTCTTCTGATCACCTCCTGTATCCTGTAGCTGGAAGAGGATATGCACCAGTGACATTAAACATCATCACATTTCCCACAAATTATCCAATACTGATCCTTCAGATATCAAATATCAAGTACGTTGTATATGATTACGGTAGAGGTGTTCTTTCCCTTGTACCATTTATGTTTGGTCCTGTTGAAGAATGGATAAAGCTTGAACCAAGGAACACTAACATAGGTTGGGATGATAAAGATGATGCAGATGATAAAGATAATATATGTTGATGGTTCCTAATATCTTACCAGGATAGAAATATGAATAATTATTCTTTGCTACTTTGGCTGAACAGTTTTATTTTTTTTAGGTTTTAGCTTGTTTACCATAATGAAACTATTAGGATCTTGAAAACACGAAGGATAACTTTCAACAATACCTATGTAACTCTATTACATTTTAGGATCATTGATACATCAAACCTACATGCAAAATAGAAAGCAGCCCAGAGTTCTTCTTGTTGTCATTCACCCCTGGGGCTTGTGGGTTAGATTTGTTTGTTTGTTGTTTATGCCGCACTCAGCAATATTCCAGCTATATGACAGCTGTCTGTATAAATAATCAAGTCTGGATCAGACAAACCAGTGATTGATATCATGAGCATCGATCAATGCAATTGGGATACGATGACATGCATCAACCAAGTCAGCGAGTCTGACCACCCAATCCCGTTAGTCGCCTTTTACGGCAAGCATGGGTTGCTGAAGACATATTCTACCCTGGATCTTCACGGGTCTTCTGGGTTAGAATTGGTCTCGACCAACATTTGCTGGCTGTAAGAGGCGACCATATTAAATGGATCAGGTGGTCAGACTCAATGACTAGCTTGATTGCGTGTCATCGTACCTCAACAGCAAGGATCGTTGCTCACAATATCAATCATGGGATTGTCTGGTCAAGACTCAATTATTTACAGGCTGCTGTTGTATAGCTGGAATACTGCTGAGGGCCGTGTTAAGGAATAGGCACTTCGAGTCAATTAGATGAGGAAAACCTTTGATCACAATGGTGCATATTACCTTCATGAAGAATTCCCTTTAGCATGTTCATGAAGAATTCCCTTTAGCATGTTCATGAACAATTCCCTTTAGCATGTTCATGAACAATTCCCTTTAGCATGTTCATGAACAATTCCCTTTAGCATGTTCATGAACAATTCCCTTTAGCATGTTCATGAACAATACCCTTTGTCCTGTGAACGATATGCATGTGCTCTTGTTCTGTGTTAACATGTTTTCCCTTGCTAACAACTTGTATGTTTGTGTTTGTCAGTGTAAGGAGCTCGCTCGTAAAGAGTGATTCAATCGGGTAAGTGAACACTGAAAAAGCTTTGCTTGGAGTTGGTGATGTTTGATTTGCATGAAATTTACATCTTGCACGCCTTTGTTATGAAGCTTTCATGCTTTAATTCATTTGTTTCCCTTTTTCTTGCAGCATAGATGGTGTCTGGTTCATATAACAATTTGAAATCACGGTCAACAGTTTTCAATATTCCTCATGCTGATAGTATTTATTTTTGGTGCACTATGGCTTCAGTTACACATCTGGTTGTAGTCATACTATTGTATATACCCAGAATACTCAAGATTAATGTATATTTAAGAAGAACTATTCAGATTTAATACCTAGCTGCTTTTAAATTATGGTGCTTTGATAACATTGTAAACCGCATCACTATTAAGCTCTCTATAAGCTCTAGATATTGCACCAGTTGAGTAGATTTATGCTCATGATGTCAATCACTGGATTTTAGGTTCCAGACTCTAATATTTACAGACTGCTGTCATATAGCTGGAATATTGCTATGTGCAGCATTAAACAACAAACAAACAAAAAGATATTGCGCACTGATAATGACTTTCTCCTATCTTTGAAATGAATTCTACTTCATGATGAAAAGTGCAAGGAAACTTTAGTTATTCCAGGTTTATGATGTACTGGTATGATATACATGAAAAAATGTATCACACTTTGACCTTTATCTTGATATGAGACGACATCATTTATCATCTTTATATCCAGAACATACAGAACCCACCCCTCATTGTTTTCAATACATTGATTTAATGGAGAAAAACAAAACCTTCCAAATATAACGTGTCGGCAGTATTCTGTTTAATGTCTGCACATTACTCCCACACTATAAATCACCACACTTTGTTATACAACACCGGCACAAGGGTGGATTTACAGCACTGACACTCCCAACCAATTGCCCTACACCTGTGAATTGTAATCTTCTAATCCTCTTTCAGTTGTGTTTGCAAACCATTAGATTTCCCCATGCCTACACACACTTTTTATTTTGATCTCAGCTGATGATAAATCCCATGTCAGCAATACCATCCACCACATATTCAGATTTCATATTGGAGAGGACACACTACTGCCTAAATATACCTTCACTTACTGCCAAGTGCGACAATTCCTACAATAAGTGCTCCAACACTTATGATAAGTGCTATTGGATTTTTCCGTTACAGTTACAAAAATATTTGCTCTGTAGTCTTTGTCAGTCACAGCCCATATTTCCGAAACAATATAATGAAAAATTGTGGAGATGATATTTCGCGCCTATTCTCAAGAGGGAAATTTGTTTTTGATGGCTCTTTCAAACCCATAGTTTGATTAATGTTGGCAAACGCATTCAGATGTTTGATCATTTGCTCACTGGAATTGGTGACGGACTTTATCGTTGATAATAAAAACGCCTCTTAATTGAATCTGCCAGAATTACTGCCCTGGACAATCTTGCATCTTTGTTGTCATGATTTCATCAGCAGGAATTGTTATGAATTGTGCGCAATATTCTGATTTTGTTTTTTAATGTTTATATTCAATTAGGCATCCATTTAAGCTCCTTTTTCAAGCCATGCTCAGTTTACATATTGCAATGCCACATTTGAGACCTGATAAACTTGGGTTGTATCTTTAGTCCTGTTTATTTCTTCTTAAGAGCTCAGGACATTGCACTGTAATTCTTCAAAAGCTTCCAGATCATTGTAACTGTTTACACATCCGCACAAGCAATAGAGAAAATATAAATCATTTTACATATCATATCAAGTCATGTCACATAGCAAGATGATTTCTTCTACGTGTCTAACATGTTCTTTCCCTATTGTAGAACAATAAATTCTGTGTTTTTTGCAGTATTGTAACCTCTTTTACATTTGGAGGAGGCTTTGGGGAGATCAGTGTTATCGTTATGTATAAATGTTCCATTAACCTGTGGCTTCCTTATCAAGAGATTCAGTATTGGAATGTAATGAGATGATATGACAGACAAGTCAATCTGTTCAAAACTGATTGAATGCTGTCTTGTCAGTTAACAACAATAGGATAAGATGGTGTTAAAAACAAGTGCATTAAAATGATACATGGCATTTTCGATATTCATGACAGCAACGTAAAATAAAATTAATTGCTACAAAAATGGAATTTGACATTTTTATGACAGATTTTACATTGAAATTTGTGGTATGAATTATGTTATGTTATGAATACAGGTTTTATTATCACAATTTTTCATTGGTGAAAGGAAATATTAGTCAGTTTTATTGCACTTTGATTTACATGACACTTGGCATATTGATCCAATCCTGATTTACATGAAAACATGCTGACCTGCATCTTAAGTAGGTGAAATTTTTCAGATTTAAACTGCTTCATTAGCTCAAACTTTAATGTAATTTTGACAGAAGAGATGATTTATTCAAGATGTATGCATTCATTCGTATCTTTTGATGTGGGAATTATAAAGACATTCAACAAAATCTTGTTTCATGTTTTGTGTTTGAGATTAAACCATGTCATTGTTTCATCAGGTTTGACGATCAAAGTCAACTAGAAGCCATCATTGTGATCGAGGAATTCTGTAAGGAGTTGTCAGCCATTGCCTTTGTGAAGCATCATGCCGCAGTGACCAGGACATAAGAGGTAGGACAGAGGAGGACATTGACTTGGACAACGACACACACTGACCAGCTATCAGAGTCACTCATGTGGTTACACATGCATTTACTGGGACAGTACTCTGCAAAGACATCTCCACCCTCATACACCTGTTGTAGTTGTGGTTGTGGTGATGGTGGATGGAAGATGAAGATGTTCTTGGACATGGGAGGACAGGCGGACAGGGGGACACTGACCAGCTATCAGAGTCACTGTTGTGGTCCAACACACAGTTACTGGGACAGGACTCCTTCAAAGAATGTCAAGGACATCTCCCCCATCATACGCCTGTTGTGGTATCATCATCGATGATGGTGGTGGGAAGATGCAGATGAAGATGTTCAGACTACTATTTCAGGCATTCTTCCTGGTATTGGTAATCATTCTAGAATAACCTTGTATTTCTCCCCAAATTGTTAAGAGTTTAGGCCATTATGAATGTTTTGTCTCCTTTCATTTAAATCTACCCATCATCTACAGAACTAGAAATGGCCATTCAGTGTTAAATAATGTTATCAGGCTTAAGATGAGAGGCAACAACTGTATTAAGGTCAATTCTTTTACACCACAGTCACATCTTTTGTGTAAGATGGTTTCTTTCCTGTCACAACAACGTTATAGAATCTCAAAAAGGTTTCAGGCTATATGCGAAATGAATTGGTCACATCTACAAGATATCCTTGTGCTTGGACAAAAGTTCATCAATAATAACCAACAGATGCCACCTTATTAAATTTGCATCTGAAGAGTAAAAACCAATTGTTGGTGTTAGTAGTGATGAGAGGGTGACCTCACTGCATCCTCCATCCTTCACTAACTGATACTGTTTATCGTCATGATGGGGAGTTTGGCCAGCAACTGTTGATCATCGATCAGAATCTAGATCCATTTAACTGTGACAGTTAATGCATCAGCATGAGCTGAACAATTGCTCAGACGGACCTGTGTGTCCTGACATTGTGTTTTCAAGTAGGATGTTCTGAGCTGATTTCACAAAAGTATTGTCCTAAAATATGATTCATCCATTAAGCAAATCCAAAACAGGAAAATTGGGCACTTAGTCTCTGGGCCACCAGCAGAATATGTAAGGTTTGACTATTAAGCTATCTCCATTGTTTAAGGGGAAGATGTCTTATTCAGCTTGGTGTAATGACCAAGAGAGCCGCCAGATGTCTTCTGGTAGAGCATGTAGATAACTGGATTCACCTAAAGGGAGCCCAGTGCGCTCATACACCAGGGTTTTACATGATGCAGAAACCTGCATCCAATACCCACAAATGTCTAGAATGGATGAAGAAAAGAAATGTAGTGCATCCTGTGGGACGCAAGGTAATATTCATTCTACCAAATTCTTGGCAAGAAATATTAAGTTCTTGTAATTGATGGAATTATCAAATCTTACCGTACAGTATTCTACACAATCTCATTAGTTTACAGGGCTCTCATATATCCTGTAATGATCCTTGAAATAAGTTATTGGTTCCCATAGACCCCTATTTTTTTTTGTAGGTCAAGGTAAAACTCTGATTTCACTCTGCAGAGCTTTTTCTATGCTGGGCCAAGTTCCACTTACCGTGGGTTTGAATCTCTGATTATGATCCTTGGTTTGTCAGCACCATATCCTGGCTTTCCCCTCACATGAAGCTTCCATGCCGTGATGTAACTGAAATATTTTTCAAAGCAACATAAAACCAAATAAACTTGCTCCATTATCCACCTGAGACCAGGATCACCCATAGCTTCATGCATGTGTCCGATCCACCCGACACCAGGATCACCTATAGCTTCATGCATGTGTCAGATCCACCCGACACCAGGATCACCCATAGCTTCATGCATGTGTCCGGTCCACCCGACACCAGGATCACCTATAGGTCCGATCCACCCGACACCAGGATCACCTATAGGTCTGATCCACCCGACACCAGGATCACCCATAGCTTCATGCATGTGTCCGATCCACCCGACACCAGGATCACCTATAGGTCTGATCCACCCGACACCAGGATCACCTATAGGTCTGATCCACCCGACACCAGGATCACCTATAGGTCTGATCCACCCGACACCAGGATCATCTATAGGTCGGATCCATTGTGGCATCAAGATGAAGCAGAATTGGTTGCTGTTATTGGGTATGTTGGAATGAATTTAAGACCAAACTGATTTACAGACTCATTGTCTTTTATTCTTTCAATGTGACATTTCAGTGCATGTGATAGATATGTCAGTCATGTCTTCATTCATACTTCAGCTAAAATGGAGCCATTTAAACTCAGCCTTATAGGAATGGGTATTGATAATGCCAGAGACAAAAATTGGCACACTTGCATTATACCGGCTACCTGTTTTGCCATATTTGTTGTCAGTGAAAGTGTAGCTATTTGAAAAATTGTGGGATATAGCTCAAAATTAGCTGAACATTACCCCGCTTGCATTTGAATGGGTAAATATGATAAAACTTTTGAAATTAATGTTTCAAGTTGCATACGGCGTGCAGCAATCTCATCCGTTACATGCATCAGACATGTATGTTTTATTAACTTTGGTAACTGAAAATTAGATTTACTTACGGAAGCTTTTAACACTCTAAACCCTAAACCCCATGTTAATCTGGCAAGCCAGCTAAAAGTGGCAGCTATTTAGAAAGTGGTATGAAGGATGGAGCCAACACACATCCCCTACCAAAGGACAGAAATGACAGAAATTATGCGGCATACTGCAATCTGCCCCAAAGATTGAATTTTCTGTTATGCAATATATTTGGAAACAATCATGTCACAATGATGACGAATGCTTGAACATTCAGGTTCAGAGAACATGTCCTGATTCATATACTTCTCATGACTATAGTTAATATGTCATGGCCATGATAGAAAGCTTAAATCACGTGGAAAAAAAAAATATATATAAGTGTATATATATATATATAGAAAAAGCACAGTAAAGTTCTAACTCTCAAACACAATATAATAATAATAAAATAAGTGGAGGAAGATTGAACACAGTTTTAAAACTGTGTTCAATCTTACTCCACTTATTTTATTACTATATGCTGTATATATGCTTATAATAAAGCTGTATATGCTTTATTACTATATGCTGTATATATGCTTATAACGAACTACGGTTATAACAAAACTAAAATTAGCAGCCCCTTTGAGTTCGTTATTACCGTAGTTTACTGTAGTTGGGAAAACACATGGTGTCTGCCTGTACCTGACGTATTATTTGTATGTGGATATTACTCTTCCAATAAATGAATTAATTGGTAATCCTATGAAAACCACAGAAAGTATGTGAAAATCCTGTAATGTATTACCCCTGCCTGAGCTCATCCACCACAGAGCTCTGTAATGTTTAGACAGGAGTCCATTAGACTGCAGGTCTATTCTGACCAGAATATTTCAAGGGAATGCAATATGTTTGTGACACTAATTTAGTTCCTCATATACTGGCTAAGCAACAGATTTGTTTGTTAATAGTTCTTTGATACTGCCTTGTGTCAAGCAGTGGATGAGGAACTCTTACATGTGTCCTGGCCACATGTTACTGACCTGCTGAATTTTTAATGTCAAGACAAGATTCTTCTGGAAAAGGACATGTTTTTGCTTATTGTACTGGAGTATTAGTTTGTTATTGAGCTTCAGAGTATATGGTGTTTAACAGAATTGTTACTCCCTTTTTGAATAAATATCACTTTCTTTTAATTGTCCTTCACGCAGCATTGATGTACACTGAGTTCAGTGATCACTGTTTCATTCCTATTGTTTTAGAGTGGGTAGGATTTGTTATGAATGTTCTCAATGAAATCAGTGATCTTCCAAGAGGGTGCCTTAGTCTTAATAAACAGTTATCAAGGGCCACAGTCTGCAAGATCATCATCAGATTATGCATGCACTTGCCATTGCATCATATCATAATAATGAAGACACTCAGTGTTCCATATCTGTCAGTTATATATCATATTAATGTGTGAACCTCACGTCTTCTATATTATGTACATAGTTTGTGTTCTTTGGTGGCACAGTGTCAACATTTTCACTGTCTATCCATTGTTGCAGTCATGTGTTGTTTCATTCTGTGTGTCAAATGTATATGTATACATGAGCATTAATTAAGCAACATCAACCTTTTTGGATAAGTACATTAAATAATGACTGGTGTCATGCATTCTTGGAAACACGACAAGAGAGTAGAAAATAACACAAACAGCCTGGCACTACAACCACATAAAATAATGAAGGTGACACAAGCAAGAGGTGCCAATGTATTAGCGTAACATGAAGAAGTCGAAGAATGTGAATTTCAACAGTGCTGAACAGTAGCAGCACCCAGCCCACCTCATGAATCAGACTTTCACATTATGCAGTGAAAAACTATGATTGTGAACCTGGAATCACCACTGACTGCAATCATCTGTCACGGATGACGTTCGCAAGGCATCTCCACTTGCCGCTGATTAGACGTCTGATTTCTAACATTGGGATCCTCTGCCGTTCTTGGTGCAGTGCCTGGGGCAGTTCATTCAGGTTTTGAACGGGAGGGTCTCTAGCTCTCACTTGATGGCAGTCCATTCATACAACAAGCTGACAAGTTAGGTTTCCACTGTTTGTCCTCATGTTCTGAGGGGCGGTCGGGTAGCCGAGTGGTTTAGGCGTTCTCTCGTCATGCCAAAGACCTGTGTTTGATTCCCAACATGGGTACAATGTGTATAGCGTGAAGCCCATTTCTGGTGTCCCCTCCGTGATAATGCTGGAATATTGCTTAAAGCAACATAATACCAAACTCACTCACTCACATTATGTTCTGAAATGGATTTTGAATCAGGTGCTTCATTAATGCTCGTGTGTATACTATAGAATCCCCTGACCAAAGACATGACAATGTGAGCAGATATTTTGACCATTTTATTATCTGGTGGTTTTATCCTGTTTATCCCTAGTGTGCCAAATCAACTAATGTGCAATATGTTTTGTTGGTCAATGTCTGTCTTCCAGTAGTGACCTGTTTTATTGTACATGGACTACAGGTACAGATTTCCTCGGTTTGTTTCAATGTTCCACCTTGGTCCTGACCACATACAGATAATTGTGTAGGGGACCCACCATTTAATATTCTGTGGGGTTGGTGGGGACCCTGGGACTTTTCTTTTCTTTCACATCTTTTAGCTTCACAAGACTTTTTTTTATGCCAGCCAGCATGTCTAGTCTAGTAAACTTGTTTATGTGGGATGGTAAAACTTGAGGACCATTTTTTTTCCATTGTGGAGCTCCCCCAACCCAACCAAGATATCTATCTAGGATTTCAGATTAAGCCCCCTTTGCAGACAAATTTGGAAAAATTATTTTGTTTCAAATTGGGATCTCATAAAAAGTTCTTATTTTCCTAAATTCAAAAATATTTAACATTGAATTTTAGGATTGCATTCAATGCAAAAATGCTAAACTAGGTATTAAAGCTTCTTTCTCTATGTTGGTCCTATTGTCAGTGAAGTAAAAAGTACGCTCACAAAGCCATAGCATCAGTATAAATATGGGGATATTTGCTGACATTTGCTTCAAGCTTGGGGCCAAATATTGGCCTCCTAGCAGATCAAGATAAAGCACCACCACCACCACGAATATAAAATGGACGTCCACGTTTGAATGTTGAAATTTAGGTTTATTTTATTTCATTCAAGTTTTAAGATTATTTACCGGTAATCATGTGATTCCGACGTGATTTCTTCTAATTTTATGATACAATTTTAAGTATTACTTTATAGAAATTAAATGATGTGTGATTTTGTTTTGTCTTGTCGCAAGAACATTAGCCACTACTTCCACGGACTATTTCAGACATTGTGTATGAAGCCACTGAACCACATCAGAATTGTATGTTCACATTATCATAGTTCAATGTACACTGTGAACCTCGTTACTTAACAATGGTGCTAGTCTTTATATGTTTTGAGGCAATGTGAATAACATATTATATGCTGCTAAAGACAAGTTAGGGACCATTCGATTCTTTCATATTACTATAGTTAATTTGTCATGCCATGGCCAATTAACTACAGTAAATATCATAGAATGGTTATGTCTTTAATGTTTTCTGAGTAGTATATCATACTCAGTGATTTGATTCCTTTTAAAGAACAGGGAATCCATATGGATTATGGTATATTTGTTTTTCAGAAGAAAAAATATCTTTATTGTTCCAAAGATATATTAATTCAGATTAGTTTAGATTGTTTGGATTTTTGTTTGTGTACGAAAAAGGCATAAAACCAAGAAGAATGTATTGATCGGCATGATACTCTTGTTTCTAGCCTTTACTATGTTTCAGTTAACAGAAACTACAACAGTTGAAGGTATTCTGGACAGTACATGTAGTTGTCTTCCGAGGGATCTAGAAATTAATATTTACTCTATGTTATTTTTTAATCAGTAATAACTACTATCGAACACCTTTGTGTCAAACTTACGGTTGTCTCGAAGTAATAGCTTGGTCCCTGCTTATTCCTTCTTTATTCATCATTTTGGGTTGTGTCGAACCTTGGCTAACTGGATGTACTTATATAGGTCCCTTCAACTTCAACACAACTGTGTACATCACGATGATCACCTGAAGGTAATCTGTACGGTACATGTACAAGTCTTCAGAGGGATATAGACACAGATGTTTGTTATTGGGGTCAGCTTTCAACAGAGAACTTATCTATAACTGATGTTATATGAAGGAATAAATTATGTGACAATATTGTTTTCGTGTTTTACTCTTATTTTGTATGTTCCATTTTGATCTGCTACAACTATTAATAAATATGTGGAAAATATTCTATACTCAAATCTCTGTTGGTAAAGCTCTGGCTACAGGCCAAATGGTACCTTGAATGTTTTAACATTAGGGATGTATATAACTTAGAGATGTGTGGCTTTTAGCATTTGTGAAAAAAGATTGACAAAGGCATTTTCTAAAAGCAGAGTCTGTTCAGTGATAAGCATGTGTTTATAAAACAGGATTTACCTGGGTCTGTGAAAAAAGAGCAACAAAGCCTTGTGCGACGTGCCACAATCGCGGCCTGCTCCATTTGGGTTGACGACAAGCCTTTGCAACAGCACCTGTTTGACGGAGAACTGGATGCCCCACAGACAATTGTCGTCATTTTGAAGTCAATGAGGATGATCAAGCGTCCTGAGCTGTCAGATCGTCATCGGAGGGACCGTTTGGCATGGTGTTTTGTGATGTCTGAAACCTAAGGACATTGCGGAAGAACCACTGGTCGAATGAGAGCAGGTTCATGTTGCGTGTCATGGACGGATGAATTCAGGTCTTGCAACAGGAAACATGGCATACACGCCCAGTAACGTTCGTCCCACAATATGGACATGTGATATTTTTTTAGCATCAGGTACAAAAATAGGAAATAGGACATACTGTGGTTTCTATGCCATATATTTTGGGCCAGCGCACAATTGTTTAATAGCCTTAATAGCAGAGGGACCTGTTTCCTCGTGTATATTTCATGCAGGGTAAAAAAGTCCCCATACTCCAAGCTGAAAAGCGTCTGGTGTTAACAATGTGTTACTTCGCTGATTGTGTGTCGTGGTGGTTATTTACAGGCCGCCCTGATATACTTTGGAAACTCAGTTATGTTTATATCCATTTTGCCGATAAAGATATAATCACGAACTCTTTGGAGTAATTTTTCCTCTTTTCGCCAGTTCCTACCTAGGAGGCATGAATGGCCCAGTCGCCAATGGCGCTGCCTTCCGTTGAGTTGCGTTGCTAGGGCGTGCCAGAAACCTTCGATTGTGGGTTCGAATCCTAGTTTCGCTCTAACAATTTTCAAGGTTTGTCGGTAACATACCTGTCCTCATGGGTTTGAATGTAGTGGTAAACTGCATCTAAGCATCTTCAGTTGAATCACCGTGACATAACTGAAATACTGTCAAACCAAGTATACCCATTTGTCTGACCTCCGTGAAGATCAAGGTGACAACTGGTCCTCGGGAAC